CTCCAGTAAAATGAGTATATTCATGCAATTCCTTTGGCAATTTTGCAATATAATTATTTCTTTTTTCTATTAACAATTTATGCCTTAAATCTTACCTAATTAATATCTGAATTTTCTAAGTTTCATTTCCTCATCTGTATAATGAAGAAATATTATATCTCTTTAGATCAATAAACCCATATTCAATTAATAATTGTCTCTTGTTAAGGTGATTAAAGACTTTGTCTATAGTTTCTTTAATAGTGCCTCTGTATCAACTGTTTAGCTTGCAAATTTATAAATTGTTCGAAATGTGAACATTTTAAATTATATAATAAATCATTTAAAGGGTTGTGGAGACTTTGATAAAATAGCTCTTTGAGCAGATGTTTTTCTAGGTTAAGTGCCTTTAGGAATTTATAAGAAATTATTCTATCTTTTATTTAATGGTGGCAATCTAGTTGTCGGAGTTTGATTTCTGGATTTGCTAACATCATTCTTTATATTTTTAGGATTAAGTAATAATTATTATTTAATTACCTAATATATTATCTTTATACTTTCAAATTTGCATATTCTTATTGCTCCCTTTCATCCATAATTTAATTTTGTTCAATTGTTTTTTATGCATTCAAAAACTAAATATTTGATAATTCGACCCAGAATTCTTTGGAAATCTTATTATATAAGCATGTACTTATTGAATTGATAATTTCTTATCGTTCATCAGATTTTAGAAGATTTAAGCAATTCTACTAAGAATTTCCTTCTCATCATTCCAAAATAATAACTTAATTTGAAAAAGTAATTTTGGGAGTTTTGCTCTAACTAACGACACAGCATCATATTACAATTATAAAACATTAATCAGATTATTCGATATAAAGAACTTTCTTGATCTTTATTAACATAGTTTCATAATAAATTCTATTGATAATTATCTTAATTAATAATTCGAATGATTAATAAATGCTAAATAATTTTGTATTATTGAATCTCTACTTTCAAGTGAATCTAATTCAATTATTTTTTCTATTAATATATTCATTATTTTATCTCTTATAAAGTTAGAACCCATATGACTCATTTTTAAACATTATTATAGAAAATCCTTCTGTTAAAATAAAATTCTGGATATGATTATCATTATATCAATCATATTTGATATTTCATTCCACAATCCTTTTGTTTCATATTAAAATACATTTCTTTTGAACATTTCATATATTGTTTAAAGTTACTAAAGCCAAATTTTATTCTTATTAATTAATGTTGTTTTTTCTATAATTTCAGATAAATAAGGAATAAATATTAGCTAATTTAATTCAAAATTAATAAATAATTTTTATATTACTTTAAATTACATATCCTAAGATAAATTAGAATATAAATTTGACAAACACTTTAATATATCATAATTTCGCATCTCTTCTGAGAGAATTTATATAGAATTTAATAACATATCATCTATGGAAATAGAGTATTTCTCATTAAATTATTTTATTATTGAATAATAGTTATGTAATGATTCTAAAAATCTAAATTAATTATCATTATTGTTATTTATGATTTCATTTAATTTTTCAATATAAAGAGACTATAAGTTATCCTAATTTAAGCTCTAAAATATGATAATTGATAAAAATACATATTATGCAATTGATTGGCAGAACTCAAATTATGAAGAATCTAATTATTTAATGATATTCTCCAATAGAAGCTGCAATCTGGATTTATGAATATCTTCATTTAGTTCATAAGTAGCTAAGAAAAATTTGGCCGAACTCATTCTAACATCTTTTGATTAATCATATATTAATGTCGTAAATTTATCAATCCAATCGAATTCATGTAATATAGATTTTAATAATTATTGATTATTGAGTAATATTTCTGAAATAATCTTACGAACTCGTTCATCTTTATGCTTCATGCTTGATTTAATTTGAAGATGAGCTTATTTTTTTAATTCAGGTGTAAATTTATGATAATATATTTCAATTATCTTTAATATTTGATACATTTGATTATCAGTCTCAAGATACAATCCTTCTTTATAAATATCAAGGTCATCTAAATATTTTAATATCTCTGCACAAGAATTAATAATTTCATATTGTTGATATTGTTTTGTAAAAATATTGAAACAAATGTCACTATAAGATTATTTTATTTAATTAGGAATCTAGAAATGATAATTCTCATACTTAGATTTTATTGAATATTTCACTCACTGCTTTAATGTATTCTTTTATTAAGGATTCATCATGCAATGAATGTAATTGATTTGCAATTATTTCTAATAATTATAATGCACCTTTAGGATCAGATAAAGATTCTCCAATATTCTTTGCCACAAACATTTTTTAAAAACTTTATCCATTTATCAACAAATATTTAGCCCTTTCGACAAATGAATTACTTTCTGGTGCCATATTTTTTTGAATTTCTTCATCACTCTCTCTTAAAGAATTAATTTTACCTTCAAAGATTTTGGAATTACAGCATACTTTTCATTTACAAAGTCCATAATTACTTAAAAAGAAAATTAATTAAAATAAAAATAAAAATAATGAATTCATAAAATTTACATAAAGTATTTTTCCAATGAATCTTCCTAAAATCTAAAAAGACTCAAAATTTGACAAATTAATTTATATACTAAAATTTAAATCGGGATAATTTGTATGCTAATTGATTATTTAATTAATTTTGATAAAAATAAGCATTTAAAAATCAGATTTGAATGGCTAAATTTTTGTTAACCTATTGAATATTATTTTATAGTGTAGCATGATGACAACCAGAATATAATTTGATCACTTTCTCTAATTTGTCTTTACAAACCTTTAAATTAGTACTTTTAGAAATAGCTCTAAAAAGTTCCCATATTTTAAATATTAGTTCTTAATTTTATGTTTGATGCATTCTCATCAATATATCAATTAATAATTCAATATTTTTATCATCACAAACCTATTTGGTATAGTTTATTTAAAATTATTTAGGACACTTAAATTATAGTAAAATTGTAACTACTCTTAAAGTGTATTTTTGATTGAAAATATTTGGAAACAATATTAAACTAATGCAATTTGAATCCAAAACCCATTTCGATAAAAAGATATCAATATCAGTTTCACTTTATACAGACTGCATTAAATCAATCAATTCGTCAATCTCATTTAAGTAAAAACATTGGAGTATTCTTAACAATATGGATAATTTTTAATTTTATTATTTATTATAAATAGATTTTATATGATTGCAAAATTGATTGCAAATTGATTTGTCTTCAATAATATTAATAAAAGTGTGTTCTTGGTATATATCTTCATTCTATTATTATCGAGATGATAATTAAATAGGAATATTTTGTTTTAATGTAAATTTATGTATTTGAATTATTTATGTAATTAATCTATGAATAAATTATTGTTGTTGCTCATTAACTGACTTTTTAATAGTTAACCAATCTTTAAGGTTATTGGCATTGAATGTAGCTTTAATTTGTAAAATACAAGTAGTTAATTTTAAAAATAATTGAATTAAATTAAATAAGTATTAGTTTTAATCATTCACTTTTGCGTTTTGAATTAAAATATAAATTTCTTAGAATATATCAAGAATCATATTGTTTTCGCTATTCATACAATTTTATACAAAGTTTGTGATAATATGAATAGAATTCAAAGTTTTAAGGATAAAATCATCGAATTTTGGGATAGACTTAATAATTGGGATCAATTAAAAATATTGAAAAGGCATTTGATTGTAATCCTATGCTGTTAAGATCTAAGCAAATCGATAATCCTCATTAATGCAACCCATATCCCAAATATTACAAAGCGTTGTCATAAACTTCTATATACTTTAGTCATTGGATGAATTATGTAATTTAGAGGAATTAAATTTAGGATTTACACATTTGAGATTTTACAGATTTTCTATATTTGATGTATGTAATAATGGTTTGATTTGTAATTTCTATTAAAGTTCATCAATTATTTAGTCTTTTTTTTCTAATTATTATGTGAGATGAATAATTAATAATTTATGTTAGGATTCTTGCTTAAATTTATGGTCTATATATCTTTATCTTAGGTTTTCAACTAATTTTTCTAATTCTATTTATTTATTTTATATAATAGTTAATTTCTAATAAAAAATCTCATTTAATCTCTTTTCTAAATTATTTGAGAATTCATAAAGATATTTGGATAATTTTTCTTAGACTTACTGTTATTGTGAGAATTGTAATTATTAGTTTTTTTATATATCTTGATTTTCTTAGTTAGAAGGTGGTTCTTAAATATCCCTTAGTGCAGTTAAGAGGAGACTCAATAAACCTAAATGTCGAGTATGGATTTATAATTTATTTAAGGAAAGCATTTATCCATCTTCTGAAACTAAATCTTTGATAAGAGATTTCAATTAAATAGTCAATTTATCATTTAATTTATGATCTTATATGATTTCTGGATACTCATTAAAAAGTGCTTTGATGAAATAAGAAACTGGCACTTTTTCCCAAGAATCACAAATCAATTTTGTAGTACTCCTATTTGAAGAAGTATTAGTATGCATATGTTCATGAAGAAAGTGCCTTTTCAAAAATTGATTGACTTCTTTATTTGTTATTATGAAATCAATATATTAAACATCTTAAAACATTGATTAAGAACGATGTGTCATAAGTATACTTTCTAATATCAATTAAATGATATACTGTTAATTGGAGAGGAAGTAGATTATGCACTTGGAGATCTCATATCAGTATGACTGATTTATACTTTTAGGGGTTTTGGTTCTTATTTATGAAAAACTTCTGGGTATTTAAATTTAATATTATTTTCTTTTGTACTAAAAGGACATTTTTATGAAGCAATAGTTTATGTTCTTCCTTTAAGAATACTGTTATCAGAATGCTCTATATGTAGATAATTGTTTTACTTCTTGAAAACAAATTGCTCATAACTAACAGTTAATTAATTAATAATGTTAATTGTCTAATAATTATATCAAATTCTAAAATATGCATCCATGCCACTATTTTGGCCGTGTTTTAATCTTTAATGTTATATAAGTGAGGCTTCGGTGCCATAGGCTTTTTTGCAATTATTAAAGGTACAAAAAAATTGTCGATCAATATCTGCAGCACTCCTTCTACTCTTCTTCTTTCTATCTTCCAATTAATTCATAATTTCTTCATCATCCAATTAAGCTAATTCTCCTCCTAGTAATTCATATTTAAGGACTTTAGTTTTTAGATCATTTCTCTCTGTCATAACTTTTTCCAACTCCATTTATTATATTCCTTACATGATTGTACAAGATACAATTATAATAATATAATTTCACAGCTTCTTTGTAAAAATCTTTTTAACCATCTTATTTTTCGCTCTCACTTTCGCTCATAATTTTATATTAATATTAATATATATTTATATGTTAGAATATTAGAACTTTGAAAATTAATAATCAGAATTATTAGAATGTTACACTTCTAAAAAAGGAATTACAACATATTTATTTACTTGGTTAAATCAATTTGTATAAATTCATCAAAGAAATTTGGAATAGAAAGACGTTTTCAATATTAATCCATAAGAGAGTATTGAATATTAAACACTAAAATTTCAATTAAATAAGGAAAGCTTAATTTATTCATTATTAAAAAGTTATCCTACAAAATGGATTTGTATTATTTTACTAAAAATTGGACTTATGGGAATTTTGTTGTTAAATCCTTTTTTGATAAATAGTATAGTTGAATTATTTGATTCATCTGGATTGGATATATGGCAATTTTTAAAAACAACATCACTATTTACAGGATGGATAATGGCAATATATAGTTAGATTTCTATATTAAGCTTTTATTAAGTATATAATATATTATTTATCATTTATAGAAATAAGTATAGATTGAAGTATAAGCAGCTTTGTCTTCTATTTTGTATCATAAATTGTTTAGTGCATGTTTGCCATTGCCTTCTTAAGCAGAAATAATAAATTTGTTTTAAATCGATATTCCACAAATAACAATTTTGTTTGATTGTGGAGTATCATTATTTTTAACACCATTTTAAATATGTGGAGCAATCTACATATATTTTGAAACAGTAGGTGTAGCAGCTTCATTTGGTTTAATTGGTATGTTAATCTAAGTTGGAATTTCATTGATTTATGGAAACATTTATTCAAAGTTAATATACATTTAAATTTTAGGTTATAAAAAAAGATAATGACATCAAGAGATAATCGTGTTTCAAATATGGATGAATTATTGAAAGGAATATTGACAATAAAGTAGAATTGTTATTATAAATTCTTTTTTAATCGAGTATTATTTATATTTATAAAAGATTAGAGACAAAAGAAATATAGAAATGTCCAATATTGCCATTTAATAGAAATTATCATTTTATGTTAAAGCTTTGTTTTCAATTGTTCCAGTTGGAGTTATGTATTTCACAATGAAGATATTTGATATCTTTAATTTAAAATCTGTTTTAATGGTTACTTAAAATTATGCTTAATTAATTTAATCTGTCAATTTTATACCATATAATTTAGGACAATTATTAATGGCAAAAACATCAATTAAAAGATATATGGATTTCATTTAATCTAAAGATGTGGATTAATAAATATTACCAGCTTAACCATATTAAATATTAGTTAGAGATGGCAATTTTAGATGGAGAAATTCTAAAAATTTATTTTAATTAAAAAATATCAATCTATAAATACCAAAAGGGGAGTTTATAGTAATTAATGGAAAAAATGGATCAGGAAAAAGTTCTTTATTATATTGTTTGTTGGGAGAATTAGAAAGAACTATTGAAAATTCATTTGTTTATTTAGATGGAAGTGTTTCAGTAGCATCATAAGAACCTTTTTTGATTTAAGGAACTATTAAATAAAATATTATTGATGAATCAGTTATGGAATTAGATAGATATCTTCAAATTATAAAAACAACCTAATTATTAGAGGATATACAAAGAATGGAATGTGGACATAATAGTGAGGTTGGGGAAGATGGTCAATCATTAAGTGGAGGATAAAGAAAGAGGGTTCATTTAGCTAGAACTCTTTATAGACATAGTGATATTTATTTACTTGATTGTCCTTTTGAATCTTTAGATCATAAAACTGCTAATAAATTAATGGATGAATTGTACGAAATTAGTTAAAAAGATAAGAAAACAATAATTATTACAAGTAATGATGTAAATTAGATAAAAAAATGTGACAGAATTATTCATCTTGAGGATGGATCTATCACTTATAATGGTAGTTTAGAGTAATTTAAAGGGAATTCTTAATCAAATGATCTAGATTCTCTTGATTTAATAGAAGATTAATCAATTTAGTAATCTACAAATATGTAATAATCTAATAAACAATTGTATAATCTTATTGATAAATAATAAATATTGGTAATTGAGAATGAAGATAGATCTATAGGAAGTTTACAATTGGAGATATTCAAATATCTATATTAATTATTTGGAAGATATTAGACATTAGTTATAATAATGGTTTTCTGTATATTAGGAATGTGTTGTTCAACCTTTTATTAATTGCAATTAAAATCCATCACTGAAATTTCAAATTCAGATTAGTCAAATGAAGATTAAAAAGCAGATGCAGTTTAATAGTTTTTATTTGTTTATCCATTGTCTCATATTTTAATGGCTTTATTTACATTATTTAGTGGTATCTTTTTAACTTCAAAGGGAGTGACAGCTTCTATGCTACTTCATAATAACATTATAAATAATCTATTAAAAGCATCAGTAGCTGAATTTTATAATGTTACTTTAGGTAGCATAATAAAAAATAGATTGACAAATGATATTTTCCAATTTGGTATAATGTTATTTAATTATTATTAGATATGAATACTCCTTCTTTGATATCATCTTTATTTGATAGTATCTTCAGTTTTATGGCATCAATATTAGGATGTTTATTTTTATCAAGTGCTTTATCTTATCCAATTCTGATTTGCTATTTGTTTTTGTAAACATAATATATGTTGAAATATATCAGAATTAATTTAGAAATATCCAGATTATAAGCAATGTCTAAATCTCCTTTGTTGAATATCTTAACATAAACTCATTAAGGTATTTTGTTTAATAGACATTGCAAATAAACATAAAATTAAGTATCTTGCTTTTATTAATAATTTAATGTCTATACAAGAAATTCAATTTGTTCAGCTGCTTTATCCTCTTGGTTTATTTAAATCACTTGTTTTTTGATGTTAGTAATGTATGTATGCATTTTGATGGTTAATGTATAAATTTTAAATTTATTAATTAGTACATTTACAAAATTAATAATAAAGAATCTGCAACTATCTCAATGTATTTGGCTGTAAGTCTTGGTGAAAAATTTACTAGTTTTATTCTATCATTTTAATCATTTTATTCTAATAATGTATATTTTGAAAGATGTTTATCATTAATTAATAATATTCCAAAAGAAGATTTATCTACTTAATAATATAGTGATTTTGAGAATCCAATGGATAGAAGAAATAATGATATTCATTTTAGTGATCATGATAGTATAAGTCAAATTGAAATGATGACTATTAATTCAGTTGAAAGTGTTTAAGAATTACAAGATTAAAATGTTTTAGAATTAAATAATGTTACTTTATAATACAAAAATGCCACCGTATTAACAGATATCTCATTTAAACTAAAATAAAGATAAAAAGTAAATTTCTATATTTCTATTTTTAGATTGCTATACTTGGGAGAACTGGAGCTGGAAAAACTAGTCTTATGCATTGTATCACAAGATTGGTTGAACCATATTCAGGAACATTAAAAGTACTTGGATAAGATAATAGACATACAAGCATAAATAGAATTAGATCTCTATTTTCAGTTGTGTCTTAGGATCCATTTGTTTTTGAAGGTACAATCTAATAAAATATTGATCCAAATAATGCTTATAATCCAATAGAAATAATTAGAATCCTCTCTAAGTATGGATTATCTTAAGTGAAATTATTGGAAAAGTTGTAATATCAAGTAGAACCTCATGGTTCTAATCTTTCTTTAGGAGAAAAATAATTATTAGTTTTATGTAGAATATTACTGTAAAAGAGAAAGATTGTAATTTTAGATGAGTGTACAGGAAACCTAGATAATCAATATTGTTAATTAATTAATTTAACTCTTGATTTATTTATGAAAGTATTATGATCTATTTATTTATAGGATAAAACTGTTATTGCAATAACCCATAAATTAGAGTTGCTAGATATGTTTGATCAAGTTATGATAATGGATAAGGGGAAAATCATTGGTTAAGGTTCAAAGTAGGAAATTTTAAATTAGTATTTAAATTAGAAGGTGATGTGATTAATTGATATGTAATTTGAAATATATTTTATAAATGTTTCCAAATATTATTCAATAAGATCGAAGGACTTCGATTATGGATGACTAATTAATTATCCATAATAAGAATATCCCTCATACACCTGAATTATTTAGTCGTAGGATTCAAAAGAGACAATCTTCTAAAATAGGATCACAATCTTAAATTGTAAGAAATTAAAGATCAAAATTGTCTATCGAAAGTCATAGTTAATAAAGAAAAGCAACACTTTCGAGTTAAAAGAATAGATAAAATAACTTATTTTAAGAATATTAAGACTTATTCTTATCAGAGTCTTCAGATAGTAATTCTTCTTCAGCTGGAACATCAAAAATAACTTAAGTTTAATAGAAAGGAGGAGTTTCCATAATAAACTATGATAAAGTGATAGATGAACAGATGGAATTTATACATAAAACATTGCATTAACAATTATCATCAATCAGGTATTGACCTGTAATATTTAGCAAATAAAAAGCAACCTCATTTCTAAAGAGTAGTTAGAATAGTCAAATGAAATAGACAATTAAAAGTATGAAAAGCATCAAATAATTGTCTTAGTATTCCAAAAAAAGCAGTTTTTAGAGTAAATTAAATTATTCAACTAAATTTAACAGAGAAAGATCAATATCTACTTCTAAGAATGTTAATTCTGATACATAAGAATTGAAAAGCTTAGTAAAAATATTAGATTAAGCAGGAATACCTGAATAAGAATAAAACTAATATAAATAAATAATTGAAGAACTTGAAAAATAATGTGCAGAAATTGTACCAAATGGAAGAAATAAGATTAAATAGAAGGTTAGAAAAACATTCGTGCAATTATTTAATCAATATTATAAAGAGGATAATTAATTAAAAGGAATGGATGGAGATTAAATGAGTGTCTATTCTGTTGCTTAAAATGAATCGATTTTCTTTGGTAATAGAGGACATGAACCTTAAAGTATTTAAAACAATCCTTCTAATATTAATATGACATCAATATTAGATAATGTATTTACTAAAACTTAGAATCATGGATTTATGAGTGATAGAATGAAAATTCTTATGGATAATTTTAAATTAGAATTAAGTAATGATGATTCTAATTTTATTGCTTAATCTGAATAATCATCTGAAATTGAAGCTGATGAAGATAGCGAAGAAGAATATTTAGAATAATAATTTACCTAAACTATTAGAGATCCTACTTCATAATAAGATCATTAAATAATTAAATATGAAAGAAAATATAAAAGAGATCCAATATATGATCCTTATCCTCTTATTTGGTAAAGTAAGGAAGATTACTAATGGATTATTAAAGATTATTAATTTTATTGGGATAATTATCCATTAGTATACTTAAGAAAAACTATTGTTTTCATTATTAGAATAATTACAAATATTGCCAACAAAATAATTAATCATCGTATTTTTACTATAATGGTATTAATTTCAATTATATTTAATATCATGGTATTCATTGAAAGTTAAAGTGACAATTTATCTACTGAAGTTCAAATGAACCTTCGATAATAAAAATAAAGTAATTTCAATACATTATTTAGTTATTTTATTCTTCTTTATTGTAGAAAATATTCTCAAATTAATTGGCTAAGGTGTAATAGATTTCTTTTGGGATTTATAAAATGTATTTGATATAATAATACTAATTCTCTTTTCTTTTCATTATTATTATCCAACTTTGATGATCATTGATTTTTCAACTGCAAGATTACTTAAAATTTTATCAGTTATTAGTGTATTCAGTAAAAGATTATAAATAATGTTACTTGCTTTAAAACACTCCTTAAGATTTTTACTTGAAGCTCTTATCATTGTAATTATATTTTCTTACTTCTTTGCATTATTTGGAATGCATTTATTTTAAGGATTATTTCTACATAAATGTTATTATGCTGAATCTGGTATTTAAACTAACATCTTATGTGGATATAATCTCTAATGTGAAGATTAATCTATGATATGTTTCAAATCTATAACTAATCCTAATGTTCCTACTAATTTTGATGACATCTTTTATTCTTATATAGAAGTTGTAAGATTGATGATATTTAATGAATGGACAGAACCTATTTATTTAGCAATGCTCACTTTTCATGATTTTGCTATTATTTACTTTATTTTTCTTATTTTTATTATTGCTATTTTTGGTGCCAATTTGATTATTGCTGTTCTTAAAATCTATTATTCTTAAACATTATTGAAATATTAACATGAAGACATATAAAAATTATATGCAAATGCTGAAATTATCTTGAATCTTAGAATTATTAAAAATTATTCAATTGATTTTGATTGGAAGGCAAATTCAAAGAAGGATTGGATAAGAAAGAAACCCCATGATGTAGATGATTAAACAACATATGCTAAAACAATTCTATAAAATAATAATAATTAAAAAATTATAAATTACAAACATAAATATTTATCTGCAAGATAAACAAAAGAATAAGAAGAAATCAAAAATAGGAAAAGAGGTATTAAATCAAATAATAGTAAACTTGAAAATTTAATAGATAGTTTTAAATTAGAAAAGCTTTTATTATTTGAATAAAATAAAGAACAATTCATGTAAAAACTTTATTAAAATGATGCATTTGATAAAGAATATTTAAAATTATTTTACATTTAAACTTTTAAATAAGTACCATTATATTCTTGGAGAATAGTTATTAATAAATATTTTTAATATAATAGCACTTCAGAATCTGATATATTTAGTTTTTAAATAAAAAATGAGTAATTATAAAAAAAAAGAGAAAGAGAATTTGAATTCATTAGAAAATCTATCTTAAATCATTGTTATAGAATAAAAAAATAAGATTATTCCTTTATAAAATTAGATTTAAAAAATAAGTATTCTTCTAATCATTTCAAAAGTAAATTTCCAATTAAATAGAAATCCAATTAGAAATAATTATTAAATATCGAAAAAAATAAGACAAGTGAAAAAGCATTAATAATTGAAAATAATATCAATAATTAAGAAGCTATCAATATTATTCCAAACAATTAAATGAATAATAGAACAATAGCATAAGTTGACAAAACCTTTGATTCTGAATTTATTTAATAAATGATCAATAGATAAATACCTGAAAATTAGGAAGTTATTTAGAATTATGAAGAACTATATGTAAAATACAGATTAGATGAATGTAAATAAGGAGTTGTTTATAAAAATAATTGGTCAGGAAATTGTGTATTGTAATCTAAATAGAAGATTTCATAGACAATAAAAATATTTCATTAATTAAATAATATTGATATTTTTTAATGGAAAACACCAAATCTATAATGTATTTGGAATTTAATATCCAAAAATTTAAATATATTATTAAGAAATAGATCTGCTCATATATTTTTTGATTTAATAGTACTAATCAATATTATTTTATTAAGTATGATAGGTTATGTAGATTAAAATATTATAGGACAACTTAATGATTGTTTTGTCTTTATTCTTCTTGGTGAATTATTTTTAAAACTTGTATTTTAAGGCATAAATAGATTTTGCTCAAGGGCTAACAATTTTGTTGATACTTTCATTTTAACTTGCTCCATTATTTAATCATTATATATGTATTAAAATTCTGGAAATGGAAACATTTATCTTGATCTTTTGAATTCTAGTTAAGCTCTTTTGATATATCGAATAATCAAATATAATAATTTTGCCTTAAAAATAGCAAATATTACAAAAAAATCTCTTCCTTCATTTCTCAATTTAATATTGTTGATGATAACATTGATTTTTTGTTTTGCTTTTATTGGAATGAATTTATACAAAGGTAAATTTCCAATAGAAACAGACTTTGGATTATAATAATCATTTGATGATCTAGCAGCTGCATTTTTAACAGTTTTTGTAAGAGCTGCAAATGAAGATTGGTTTGGTATGGTAATGTTGGGTTCAGAATATAGTAGTAAGATTGGCACAATGTTTTTTAGTGTTATTTCTGTGTATGTTTTAAATCTAATGACTATTGGATTCATATTGGCTATTATTTTAGATTCATTTTCTTCTTATGAAAATGAAGATGAGAATGATTCTGGGGAGAATGTAGGTGATTTATAATTCTCATTATTAGAAGGTAATGATAATATAAATGAAATAACATTAAATAGTAATAATGTACATACTTCAAATAATGAAAATAGTGAAATGAATTCAAATGGAAATATTATTTAAGATATAGAAAAATAAACAATAAAAAATAATAATTTTTTTGATTTGGCTTCAAGAATTAAATTATTATTAGAATAACTATTTGCTAATTTTTAATTTTTTACTAATAATGAGAGTGAAAATTCTTTATACATTTTTAGTTAATCAAACTATTTTAGAAAGTTATGTTATCGTTGTATCAATTATTAATTGTACATTAATTTAATCTAAGTTACATTTTTTATTGTACTTATGAATATGTGTGTATATACTTATTTTGATTATGAAAATAAAATTCAGAAAGATTTAGTTGTTTAAATCTCAAATTATGTTGAATTAGCTACAAATATTTTATTATTAATTGATTCTACATTAAAAATAATCTCATTTGGATTTATGAAAGATAAAGGAAGTTTTACAAGTGAATTTTGGAGATTAATTGATTTTGTTTATCAATTATGCTACATTTCAAATTTTGTTGTTAAATATGATGCATTTCAATATTTAAAGGTTCTAAAATATACAAGACCTTTTCGTTTTCTTTATCTATTTGAATAACTCAAATATGTTAACAGTGCAATATCAAAATCAATTGTTGATTTGATGAATATTTTATTTGTTTAAATAATGGTATGGCTTATATTTGCAATATTTGGTGTAATGCTTTATAAAGATAAAATGAGTTATTGTGAATATCCTTTGAATTTTGGAATTAATAAGTAAGAATGCATAGAATAAGGTTAAGAATGGATAAATAATTTGTACAATTTTGATAATATGGGAAATGCTATGTTAGCATTA